TTTAATATTTTTTATTTTTATATTCATACTATTAAATACTTAACTTAAAAACATACTTACGAACGTGCATATGTAAGAAAGGATCCAACTTGAAGAACAAGCAAAAAAATGTCAACCAAGTTTATCCAACACTCCAACGCTGAAGACCTCGAGCATCCATCGATCAATCGTCGTATGTCTTGTTAACATTGTCAAGCATAAATCACGGCCGATTTCACGATCGCTTAGGCACGTGAGGGAAAAAAGAAAATCGAGTCACGGTCGACGTCGTCCGTCGAGACGCTATTAGAGACGCGACAGCAACGATGGCGGAGGTGCCGCGAGCCGCGGGCCGGGCACTAGGTGCTAAAAGTATAAAAAAAAAGTGTTTAATCTTGTCGTCATGGGACAAACGTACGGAATACACGCGGTCAGAGAGTGTCGACGAGCTCGCGGGAATTTCCTACATTCTTTTCTCAATCGAAAGAAAAACAAAGGGAACGATGTGTCGCGATCGATCCAGCGCGTCCTCTCTCCTTTAGGCTAGTTTAGCGTGACACTTTGTATCGTGGTAAGTGTAACAAGTAGTATAATTTTAGGCGTGACGTTCGTCGTTGTTTCGTACGGATTTTTATATAGCCCGATTTTGTATGATCGACGCCGAGCAGCAGCTTCCTGTACTTCGGTCGTTCCTTCTGGATCGAGATTGCGCGATCGACCAAACGTGAAACGAGGCGAGATTCTCGTGCAAATACACGACGACGACGTGTTGCTTCGGAGGCAGATTAATTAGGAACGATTAATAGGGAACGTAATTCGAAGTTTCCTGTCCTAGGAAGGAGAAGGGAATTTCGTAGAAAATTTGTACGACTGGAGAAGAAATTTGGTAGAAAATTGGTGGGATTGAGAATTTCCTGGCTCGGGGGAGAAAATAATGAAATTTCGTAGAAAATTCGTAGGATCGAGAAGATAGACGAGCGAGTCGGCAGATCTCTGGCTGTGTGGGGGGTGCTAAAACAAGTTTTTAAACTGCGGAACTAATAAGGGTAGAGAGGGGGTTGAGAAGCACGAGGAATAGTGGCGAGAGGGGACAAGGCGGGAGGACAGTACCCTTTAGTAATATCTAAACTTAATTGTAACTATTAACGATACGTACGACTGTGGTAGCTATGCTAGTACCTGCTATTGTTAAAGAGAGAAAGAGGGAGAGAGAGAGAGAGAGCGCGAGAGAGAACGAGAGAAAGAAAGAGAGAAGAACGAGCGAGAGAAAGAGAGAGAAATCGAATCGATGAAAGAGTGAGTCGAGAAAAAGGGAATATCGCGACTTTTCGAGGTTATGTTCGTCGCGGAACACCGGAAGCCATCGTCGTCGTCTATGAACAGATCATCTCGATCTGTTTCGAGCGACTTGATCGATGGTTTTACACCGTCGATAATCCGCGACGACGGAAGAAGTTTGATATTGACGGGAGATGATCGATGGATCGCGATCTAGCCTCGAGACGATGAAAAATGCCCACTAGAGAACACCTCGCGCCGATTATTTTTCTAATCTTTGTAATCGAACGAACGGAGGAAATTTCTTCGATTAGACCGAAAGGAGACATCGCAGAGAGACGATTTTGTCGCGCTTTACGGGGCTGATTCGTTCATGTCGTCTCGCGGCGTCGCGATTCAGAGGATCGAGAGACGTTAGAGAAGGACGTAGCGAAAGAAGGAAGAGAGGAATATGTATCGAAGGGGAAGGCAGAAGTGGAGCAAGTGCGGCGTCGCGATTCAGAGGATCGAGAGACGTTAAAGGACGTAGCGAAAGAAGGAAGAGAGGAATATGTATCGAAGGGGAAGGCAGAAGTGGAGCAAGCGTTGCAATAAGTTGCGAATCAAATGTGGATCTCGGCTTGAGGCGAGAGGCTCAGCTCAGCGAAGAATCAAACACACATACACGATGTATACTCTTGTAGCAAAACCAAAAAAAAAAAGAAAGAATGAACGGAACGGGATTTATTCTGAATCGAATCGAAATCGCGGACGCTTAGAGGCGCGAGACGGAAAGGTGTGGTGATAAAGGAAAGGGGAAGAGAGAGAGAGAGTGAGAAAGAGATGAGGTGGAGAAGGGCAGAAGAAGGAAACGGGATATTGATATAGAGCATACATTGAGATACACAAAAGATAAACATATAGTATTATACGATTACAATACGATTGTAATGAAACACTTTGTAAGCAAGGAAACAAAAAAAAAAAAAATTACGCATAGTTTTCCATAATCTGTAATGGATGTATTCGTTAAACAAACAAAGAAAAAAACATGAGGACGATGAGAGAGGTGTTAAGGTTAAACACTTACATACGTACCATACATGCACACGTATACATTAACAGGGACACGCACACACACGTTGACTTACACGTAACACGCAGGAGGGAAAAGCCGTGAGATACAAACGTACACACAACACGCTGATTAAATCACGTTCGAACGATTCAACAAAGAAAAAAAAAAAAAAAAAAAAAAAAAAAAAAAAAAAAAAAAAAACGACACACAAGAAGTAAACGGAAAAAGAACAAAAAAAAGTAATCTACTAATTAATAAAACACGAAGTAACGTGACGACGTAACAAACGGTAAATCTGTCTCTTTAAAGTATCATGTGTCTATAAACTATAGCGATCGATATTGTCTCTTTAACCGTAAATGGAGAAACAAGTAATCGTGGTAACGTAACTAATGTCATAGCGATAACCGAACACTGCAATATTAGATATAATATATATTCATACATTTATAGATGGGGGGAGAAAGTGGACGGGGATGGATTTGCGAGCGAGTGGGACGGGAGGGAACGTTGCACGCGGCTCTGACACGCGTGATTCCGATATAAATACGAGAGGAAACGGTATCGTCGTCGTCGTCGGTTCGTTCTCGATTCTCCTCTTTCTCGAATGTACACAGATAAAGGCAAAGAAGAAAAGGAAAGAAGAAAGAGCAAACGGTCGGAAAAAATGATGCACACGTGAAACAGTAGAGAGAACGAACTGAAACACAGAAATGGCGCGTGTCAGAGCGGAAGTGAGCAAAAGAGAGAAACGAAAAGTGGGCACGATCTCCAGGCACAGTTGAAAAGAGAAAGCCGTTTCGTGCTAAAACAGCAAGAGAAAAGCAAAACGAAGCTGAATGGAAGAGAACAATATTAATATGCGTTTTGTGTATCGGACACACTCGAAGTGACACACACACACCCATTCACACGTACATGTACACACAGGACACGTAACACGCACACGACACACGGTGAAACACAAAGGAAGACCCAAAAAAAAAAAAACCTATCGATTATTCTACCAAGTAATGAATTAACAAGAGGATGATCATTAGATTTGTAATTAATTACATATATATTTTTCAATACTTTAACTACTTGCTGAATGTAAGGCGA